TTGAGAAAATGCTCTGGAATAGTTTGCACCTTATTTTATAAATTACAGTCAAAAGAGGAGGTTTTATAAATTACAGTCAAAAGAGAAGTTTTTATAAATTACAGTCAAAAATGGATTACATGAGCCGAAACCAGTTTGGCTCAGTGGATAGAGCGCCAGCCTGCGGACTGAAGGGTCCCAGATTCGATTCCGGTCAAGGGCATGTACCTTGGTTGTGGGCACATCCCCAGTGGGGGGTGTGCAAGAGGCAGCTGATCGATGATTCTCTCTCATCGATGTTTCTAACTATCCCTCTCTCTTCCTCTATGTAAAAAATCAATAAAATATATTTTTTAAAAATGGATTACATGAAATGTATTGGTGATAGTTTAAGGAGGTGGGAGAAAGCAAATTGGCGGCGGGGAGACCTCTGGGATTGGATAAGAAGTAAAATGGTAGACACTTCTTTTACTAGGACATAGGTGGATAGAGGACAGTTAACAGTAATAACACGCTAACATTGACAGTGTTATAAAGGAATGTTATTGCCGATGCAAATAGACAACAGACAGGCTCGGTTAAGGAAAAGACCGTTTTGTCGGGGAAGATTCTAGCCTACGACAGGGCCACCTGCCATGAACGGCTTAAAGAGTTTTAATGTCAGATCACCATCATCTTCGGCGGTGACTTCAGGTCTGGAGTGGGTAAGGCCGCCATGCAGGCCTCCCCTGGGCTTGTCAGGTGTACGTAGTTTGTGGCCCCTTTTCACCCACATTCTAAATAAAATATAATTGAAATAATTACGTAAAGTACTTGGTCCTGACAGGTGCTCAATAAATGACATTTTGAACTCAAAATGCTGCACCATTATTAATGTATTCTTATTTCTCTAGAAATTGGAGGCAGTCTCAATTCCACAGTCCCTTTCAGACCGCTGGTTGCCTCTATCTACCATGACGTTCCCCAGGGGGAATGGGGAAGGGGGGTGGTTAGTTATGAGTAAAAGGGCCCGGGCTGTGTGGCTCGGTTGGTTGAGCGGCATCCTGACCTCTGAAAGGTCACTGGCGGGATTCCTGGTCAAAGCACATACCCAGGTTGGTCCGGGGCGCAAACAGGAAGCAACTAATTGATGTTTCTCCTCACATCGATAGTTCTCTCTCCTCTCCCTTCTTCTCTCTCTAAATCCAATTTAAAAAAGGGGGGGGGGGGGGGTAAAAGGGAAGCTTACTCTTTGTGAAGGTGACAGGAGTGATAAAAAAAAAAACAAAGAAAGTGTTCGTTTTCCCCTAGGAGCGAGGAGTCTTTAGGGTTCTTACATGTCTGTCCGGCCAGAGGTTACAGAGAAGGAAAATGCAACCAGGCCCTCCTCACTGGTACCCAGTGCTGTGGCTGCTTCTCTCCCCACTCAGCTGCCCCGTCAAGCTGACAGCCACCCTTTGTTTCCCCGCTGGCTCTGGGGGAGGCGAGGGTGGGGAGGGAACAGGTGAGGACGATCTAACCTGCAGAACTGCTGGGCACAGCCCTAACTTTGCTGTTTGTTCCTCGGGGACTTGCCCCTTTCCCCGCCTGACCCCACATGGGTTCTCACCCTGATTTCAAAACAGGCGTTCACAAGATTTTTTCTTCCTCCCCGCCAGGAACCGAGAAAGAGGAATCTGGGGGCAGATTTTTATCTGAATTCCAGGCTATTGGGTGAAAGGTCGTAAACAACTCTGCCCAGGACGGTACCACTCCAGAACATGCCTTGGCTGCAGGCCTGGGTGGCAGCTGCTGCCAAACCGAAACAGTTTTTGGCATTTAAGGAAACCCAGGCATTACAAAGAGCAAACAAGAGGTCTGTTCTGAAAGAAAGAAGAAACTGGAGCCCAAGAGAGGAACTTTCAGCAAGAGAGAATTGTATTAATTTTTTAAAAATTAAAAAAGTCAGCCGGACCAGTTTGGCTCAGTGGATAGAGCGTCGGCCTGTGGACTGAAAGGTCCTGGGTTCAATTCCGGGCAAGGACATGTGCCTTGGTTGTGGGCACATCCCCAGTAGTGGGTGTGCAAGAGGCAGCTAATCGATGATTCTCCCATTGATGTTTCTAACTCTCTATCCCTCTCTCTTCATCTCTGTGAAAAATCAATAAAATATATTTTTTTAAAAATTTAAAAAGTCAATACTTCATCGGTGTGAAGCATCAGCATTCCCTTTTCTAAGATGTCCCAACCCAACACCACCCTGACCTGCTAATACGTCTTCCACCCCCTCAACATTTACCTGGTTACACATCACACCTTGTCTCACAACACTGGCTTGTGTATTTCTTTGTAGTCATTTTGATGTTTCATTTTATGTACACTTTCAAACCCAATCAAACTAAAAATTCTCCCAGAAGCCACAATTTGGAATTTTAAAAAGTTATTTTTTAGTGGAAGTCCCACCTTGGCTGCTCCAGATAATTCAATGAATATTGTGATCGACCCAAAACAAGCCAGGCCGCATTGGCCAACTTTTCTGGAACAGGGTGTTGCCTCTAACTCATACACCCCAAGGATTGATATGTTCCCTTCTTTGTTCGTGGGAATTGATGCTGTGTGTGTGTGTGTATGTGTATGTGTATGTGGGTGTGTCTGTGTGTGTGTTTGTGTACCCAACAGTCTTGATGCCCGATTCTTGGGCTTTCTTAATACTGAGGTTGAGGTGTAACTTGTTAGCCTTAGTTTGTCAACCGAGTTGTGGGGTATGAGGAAGAAAGATTAATAGCAATGAAAAGTCTTTTTTTTTTTTTTTTTTTTTTTTTTGCTGATAGGGTAGAATTTCTGTATATCTAATGCTTTTTACATACTTCCTCATTTCAATCTTGGGGACATTATCTTCCTCTTTCCAGAACAAGAAATGTGGTAATCATGCCCAGGATACAGGAACCGGACGGGCTCAAGAATCAAGGAAAAGGAGAAGAATCCCAGCGACTGTGCAAATTTTTCTCAGGAGTCAGCTCCTTTGGCATTTCACTGCCAGCTAGGACAGACAGAGAAGGACACCACAGAGGGAGGAGTCAGGGTCTCCTTTGGTTTGACACCTCTGGTGACCCTTCTGTCTTCTATTTCCTTTCTCACCCACTTAAATGGGTTAGGAAAAACACTTTTAAAAGGGAGAAATTCTTCATTCAAATAGAAATATAACCATCTCACCCACTAATGCTTTGGTTATAAACAAGAGAACTTTCCTGTGTTTAAAAACATATATTTATTAATTAGAGAGAGGAGTTCTTGTTCCACTTATTTATGCGCTCATTGGTTAATTCCTGTACATGCCCTGACTAGGGATCAAACCTACAACGTTGGTGTTCTGGGACATTGCCCTAACCAACGGGCATACCTGGCCAGGGCGAGAACTGAGAACTTTCCTGCTTTTAACTAACTGCAAAGCTGGCAGCCGTGGAGGCTGCGGGTTTAGGAACGCGCCTCTGATGAATGATTTGAAGAGGCGATGAATACCAAGAAGTGGTGAAAGCAACTCAGGAAGAAAGAAAAGAGTGAAGCATCCGGGTTTTTTTTGCGGCTTTCCTGGAAAAGCAGCGAGGGAGATGGTCAGAGCCTAAGGGTCACCCCTCAGTGAAGAGGTCACGAGGTGGCTGGGGAAACAGACACCGTGTTCCCCAACTTTGCAGGTAGAAACTGAAGCGATGAGGGGATAAGCAACAGGATGTGAACACGCCCTCACTGTTTCCGTTCCAGAGAACAGACTGCAGGGTACAGGGGTGAGGAACAGCACAGCCCTGCAGCCCGAGCCCAGAGCCAGGAGCCCGGGGGTGGGGTGGGGGGGTACCAGTCCCACACACCGGCTTTCCAAGGAGGACTTGAAAAGAGGTTTAAAACTGGGGACCGGTTCTCCTTGCCTTCTTTGTTTTGCTTCTTAATAAAGATGTTTCTTTGTTTTGCTTCTTAATAAAGATGATAGGTCTCCCTGACCCCGAGCAGTGACACCCATACCCGGTCCCCAGCCCCACGCTGCTGTGTCCTCAGAGCTCCCCACAGGTTTCCACGCGCCCCGCAGGTGGAACCAGCGCCCCTGAGGGCGCCCGGGCCGAGGCGGGTGAGGAATCCCCCCTGAGCCCGGTTCCTGTGCACTAGACACGCTCCCACCCACATGCACCCGCCCTCCAAGGGCCGCGGGCCTGGATGCATGGCAGGGTCAGGGAGGTCCTCTCTCTGGGAGCCCAAGGGGAGCCGCCCCGTAGCCCTCCGAACCCCCTCCCCGCAACCCCCTCCCCCGTCCCCTCCCCGGGGCAGCTCCCCGCACCCCCTCCCCGCTGTTCCCTCCCAGCAGCCCCCTCCCCAGACAGCTCCCCGCACACCCCCTCCCCCCATTCCCTCCCGGAGGCATCTTCCCACACCCCTCTCCCAGCACCCCCCTCCCAGACAGCTCCCCGCACACCCCTCCCTGCAGCCCACTCCCTGGGCCCCCCCCCTCCAGACAGCTCCCGCCCCCGCAGCCCCCGCAGCCCCCGCAGCCCCCGCACCCCGTCCCCGAGCGGCTCCCCGCGCCCCCTCCCCGGGCCCGGGCCCGCCCTCCGCCCTCCGCCCCCCTCCCCGCGGCCGCGGAGCACAACAACCATCCTCCCGGCCAGGAGCACACGGTGTCCACGCTCCGCGGCGGCGGCGCTGATTGGCCGGGCCCCCGGTAAACAAGCGGCGGGCAGCCAATGGGAGGGCTGTGCACGCGGGCAGCACGCGCCGCGGGGCCGGGGCGGCGTGGCCCGCCGGTATAAAGCGCGGCTTCCGGGCCGGCCGGCAGCGCCCAGGTCCCCGAGCACTGATCGCAGACCAGACGCCCGGACCCACCGCCCCTCCAGCTGCTCCCTTATTGGACTCCCTTGGCTCCACCAGCAGCTTGCCCGGTTTGGCCAACTTTCCCAGAGTTGTCCAGAGTTTGAAGAGGAAAAGACTCTTCCCGCTACTTTAAAGTCCCCGCGGATTTAGGGTTCCGTTACCCCCTCCACGACCCGCCCGTGAGACTCCCTAGCCCACCCGGCCTGACCATGGTGATGTTCAAGAAGATCAAGTCCTTCGAGGTGGTCTTCTCCGACCCCGACAAGGTGTACTGCAGCGGCGAGAAGGTGGCCGGCCGCGTGGTGGTGGAGGTGTGCGAGGTGACGCGGGTCAAGGCCGTGAGGGTGCTGGCCTGCGGGGTGGCCAAGGTGCTGTGGATGCAGGGCTCCCAGCAGTGCAAGCAGACCCTGGACTACCTGCGCTACGAGGACACGCTGCTGCTGGAGGACCAGCCCACAGGTGAGCGCCCGGGGTGCGGAGGAGGGTTCCCGACGAACACACGGAGCTTCTAAATACTCTTAGGTTACTCGGGTTGAGCGGTTTGGGTTGTGTCTCTATATTTTAAATTTGCAACCCCCCCCCCCCCAAAAAAAAAGGTCAGTTTGTCCTATTTCTTACAATGATCCTGCGGGATTTGGCCCTTAGCTATTTAAAGATTTTTTTTTTTTTGCATGCATGCATAAGTTACTCTCTGCTGTTGGAGATGAGAGCAGCTTCATTTTAAACGCTGCAAGGTTTTGCCCAACAAAGCGCATCAGAATGTCTCAGTTAAGAACATACGGGATGGAACTGAGGGTGCGACAATACTTGGTGCACGCTGCCCAGGAATTGCTTATCGCTCGCAAGGGTGCATTTTAAGTGTAACCAGAAACCTAATGGCTATCGGGTTTCTCCCTGCAGGTGAGAACGAGATGGTTATCATGAGACCTGGAAACAAATACGAGTACAAGTTTGGCTTTGAGCTTCCTCAGGGGTAGGTATCCACTAACGGCATCTCTATCTCAAAATCTTCTCCTCCGTCTGCTCTTGGAGAGTGTTTTTAAATTGTTTCCTTTTTCTTGACACAGGCCCCTGGGAACATCCTTCAAGGGAAAATACGGGCGTGTGGACTACTGGGTGAAGGCTTTTCTGGACCGCCCCAGCCAGCCCACGCAAGAGACAAAGAAAAACTTTGAAGTGATGGATCTGGTGGATGTCAACACGCCCGATCTGATGGTGAGGTTCCTTTTAAGGTTCTCTTCACACGCCTTGGGCATTAGGTGGAAACACCTTAGCGGGGGAATCAAGTTATAAGTCATCAAGGTGGGAGGGAAAGCTGCCTGCTCTAGGTAAGGGCTGGGAAGTAAAGAGAAGCAGAGAGAGCCTGGCACAGGTGTGGTTCGGTTGTTTGGAGCCTGTACACTGAAGGGTCCCGGGTTCGATTCCCAGTCAGGGCACATGTCCAGGTTGCTGGTTTAATCCCGTCAGGGAGAGTTTGGGAGGCAACCAATATAGGCTTCTCTCTCCCTTCCTCTTCCTCTCTTTCTAAAAACATATTCTTAAAAAAAAAAAAAAAAAAAAAAGCTGAGAAAGTATTTCCAGAAAGTCTCAAATCACCCCTCTCTCTTCTCCCCAGGCGCCGGTGTCTGCCAAGAAGGAGAAGAAAGTTTCCTGCATGTTCATTCCCGATGGGCAGGTGTCCGTCTCCGCCCGGATTGACAGGAAAGGATTTTGTGAAGGTAAAAGCCTTACGTCCTGACAAAATAGAAACTGTGGACTTGAGGGGTGAAGACAGGGCAGGGACAGAAGCAAAGCCATCCACTATACTTAGCATCGGCTTCCTCTTTCTTGTTGCTAGGTGACGAGATTTCCATCCACGCAGACTTTGAAAACACGTGTTCCCGCATCGTGGTTCCCAAAGCCGCCATCGTCGCCCGCCACACGTACCTGGCCAACGGCCAGACCAAGGTGCTGACGCAGAAGCTGTCCTCTGTCCGGGGCAACCACATCATCTCGGGGACCTGTGCGTCCTGGCGCGGCAAGAGCCTCCGCGTGCAGAAGATCAGGCCCTCCATCCTGGGCTGCAACATCCTCCGAGTCGAATATTTCCTGCTGGTAAGTGAGGGGAACGGGCCTGGAGAGAGCGGTGGTTCCTCTGTCAGCACAGCAGCGGCGTTCTCTCCGGCCCTCCGGTCTCACAGGCGCCCAACTTCCTTTCCAGATCTACGTGAGCGTCCCGGGCTCCAAGAAGGTCATCCTGGACCTGCCCCTCGTGATCGGCAGCAGGTCCGGTCTGAGCAGCCGCACGTCCAGCATGGCCAGCCGGGCCAGCTCCGAGATGAGTTGGGTGGACCTGAACATCCCAGACACCCGAGAAGGTGAGCCAGACCCCACGTCTCGCCCTAGGGGCCTGCTTGGGTTTGGGAGATCGGGACGGTCCCGGCATTTCTGGGCCAGGATTCTCATCCCCACCCTCTCTCCGTCCAGCTCCTCCTTGCTATATGGATATCATTCCTGAAGATCACCGGCTGGAAAGCCCCACCACTCCCCTGCTGGACGACACAGACGGCTCTCAAGACAGCCCTATTTTCATGTACGCGCCCGAGTTCAAGTTCATCCCACCACCGACCTACACTGAGGTGAGAACTGTCATGTGACCGCTTGCGTTCATCCCAAACCTTCCAGAGGACGTTGACTCAGAGGGGATTCCTAAAGCGGGGTTTTCTTTTCGATCTCACCCGAACTAAAATGTTTGCTTCGTTCTTTCCTCCCAGGTGGATCCCTGCATCCTCAACAACAATGTGCAGTGAGCGTGCGGGAGAGAAGCAGCAGCTGCATCTACTTGTTTCTTTCCGCCTCTTCCTGGACTCTGACTTTTCCAGAGACTCAGCAGTCTCTGCAGTGGGGCTTGGTCCACCCCAGCCTCTGACTCCTCAGCGGAGGAGGTGACCAGCGGGCAGTCTCCTGGGCCTTGAGGGATGCGCACTCGTCCTCAGCCAGCCAAGATGATGTGATACCGGGGTGTTCGCTATAGATGGGTATAAAAACCTAGGCCCATCCCATTTTCTGAGATCGCCTTGAACGTGGAGGCACATTCAGTCGTTTTGAATGGCCTCCTGGCATGGTCTTCCCAAGGTTTTTTTGCAGGGGAATATATAAAAATATATAGATATATATATGGATCTTTATAATGATACCAGATCATGAACTTCTGTACCGTGTGGCGCAGAATCCATTGTAGCAAACTGTGGGAAAATGGAAAGGGGGAAGAAGTCATCTTCAAAACTTGGGGAAGAGAAGGTTCTTAAAATCATCCTTGCCCTTTGTATAGAAGAAAAAAAAATGAACACTCTCCAGGGCTGATTGGGCCTGGACTTTGGAGAGTTGTGTGACCTAAGGGGAGAATCTCTAAGGCGGTCTTGGCTTAGACTGTACTGCAGTCTGGCATTCAGCATTCATAGTCCTCTAAGCCATGTTTAGAGCCTGTTGCACTGTGTTCTGTTGCTGATGTCTTTATGTGGGAGAACATGTTTTCCTTTTCATGCGACTCCTCGGAATTGATTCCGAGGTGATGTTTTTAGCACTTTAGTTCCTGTCATTTTATTTTTTTTCTAGCTCAAAACGTAAGCTAAAACTGGTCTATGTGTCTAGAGATAAGCACAAGGACAGATAAGTTACTGTGGAGACTGTCCCGGTGGACAGAATCCTGGGATTCTAACACTCCACCTGTGTGGGAGGGGCTGTCACCACCAGCTGCCCATGGTGACTTCTCCGCACCGAGGAGAAGCGAGGTCAGGGTGCCAGCCCTGGTCAGAGCCACCACACGTTGCCCTGAGAAACCAGAGGGCAGGTCTCCCCCAGGCCCCGGGCTCCCCTCGCTCCAGTGTTGGGGGGCGGGGTATGGACAGCCCCTCTCGCTGCAGCCTTTAGCACTTTGTCCCCCCTCCTGTGTCAGAGCACTGAGCTCCGCCCTTTTCTGAGCGAGTATGTGGACTGAAGGTGGTTTAATGTTTTTTTTAATTGTGTATCTTTTGTATGATTGAAAAAACTATATTTTGTACTTAACCAGATATATTTTCACCCCCAGTAGGGGATATTCTTTATAAAAAATAAAGTTTTTTAATGGCAAAAACTGTTTTCTTGTCTGTGAGATGGTATTGGTGAAGTTATTAGAATGTGTGCCTAGCCCTGGCCAGGCAGCTCAGTTAAGAGGGTCATGGTTGTGGGTTCAAAACCGATATGCCATGGTTGTGGGTTCAAAACCCCTCCTGTCTCCACCCCGAACCCTGGCCCCCATCAGGGCAATGGACAAGATTCAACCAATTCATAAATGATGAACAACAAATCAATGTCTCCATAACAGAACACTTAAGTACACTTTTACAAAAGTGTGCCTAAAGGAGTTTCTCCTACACAATTCATTCTTGGAAACCCTCAGAGTATTACCTGTTGCCCCTCGTGAAGATAGAGTGGGGGTTGGAGAGCTGAAGAGGGAAGACATCGGAGCTATATGTGGTCTCAACAATTCAGTGAGGAGCTAGCTGGGATCTTCTGGTGACCTAAGCTTCTCTACGTTCATAGTTAACCATTACTAAATGCCTTCAATTTTGGAGTGCATGAGCTTTTTAAATTTTTTTAAATGAGCTTTAAAAAAACAAAACGAGGTTTCTGAGGGGATTTTGGTAGGAAAGGTTTACAGTTCCATTTTATCATTTGGCTTCATCATGGTTTCTCCCCAAAAAAAGAATATTCAGGACTTAAGGATTTAGTTATGAGTATTCTTTTTAAAATTGATTTTTAGATGGAAGGAGAGAAACATCAGTTTATTCCATTTATGCATTCATTGGTTGATTTTTTTTTCCCCCCAACTGAATGGGGTTTTTGTTGTTAATGTATTTTTTTTTAAATATATTTTTATTGATTTCCGAGAGAAAGAGAGAGGGAGATAGTAACATCAATGATGAGAGAGAATCACTGATCGGCTGCCTCCTAGCATGGGGCTTGCAACCCAGGCACGTGCCCTTCACTGGAACCAAACCCAGAACCCTGTAGTCCACAGGCCAATGCTCTATCCACTGAGCGAAACCAGCTAGGGCTCTTACTGTATTTTTAAAGTTTATTTCAGAGACAGAGCAGAAGGGAGAGGGAGAGAAAAACACCAATGTGACAGTGAAGCATCCATCAGCTGCCTCCTGCTTGTCTCCTACCAGGAATCAAGCCCCCCAAACCCAGGCATGTGCCTTGACTGGAATCATTGGTGCATGCCCCACGAACCTTTGGTGCTGGGACAACACCCAAAACGAAGCCGCACTGGCCAGGGCTCATTGGTTGATTATATATATAAAATGTGTGTGTGATTTTTTTACAGAGAGGGAGAGGGATAGAGAGCTAGAAACATCAATGAGAGAGAAACCGATCATTTCCTCCTGCACACTCACCACTAGGAAGGTGCCTGCAACCAAGGTACATGCCCTTTACCGGAATCAAACCTGGGACCCTTCAGTCCGCAGGCTGACACTCTATTCACTGAGCCAAGCCAGTCAAGGCTCATTGGTTGGTTCTTATATGTGCCCTGACTTGGGATCGAACCACCAACCTTGGGAGAGTGCTCTCACCAACTGAGCACCCAGCCAGGGCTTAAATTCTTTGAAGGCTGCTCCGTGGTTTATCTCTGCAGTTTATAGCGCTGTACCTTTCCAAGCGTATAGTCATCACAGTAAATGTTTGCTGAATACTCAGTTCCACCCTCAGCCCTCAGGAGATGTTATGCTTCAGCACTTTCTATTTCTTCCTCACAGGGTAATAACTATAGATTGACACCTCGTAATTCCACCTCTAATTGAAATCATTTTTATTATTCCTCAAGGGGTGTCTAGGATGAGAAACCCTGACATGGCAGGCCTTCAGGTACTTCTGGTTTCCGGCTCATTTAAACCTTTGTAAGCAGATCCAGTCCTGGCGGGGCTGTTATTTGGGGTTTGGCTTTTCTGTGGGCTTGCTCATACTCATTCCAAACCTCGGATTCCTGGAAATGCATCAAATTATGGTGAATTGAACAGAAAGTGAAATTGAAAAGATTCCTTTCTGCTTCAGTCTTTGTTTGCTTGTGTCTGCTTTTCATTATCGGTAGCTCTTTCCGGACTCTCTTTGTTGTGCCTTACCCAGGTGTCAGCGTCTGTAGCTCTTTTTATAGCCTTTACTTTTATCCCAGGCCGCCTCCTCTTCCTGCCTCGCCATGAAGTTATTGGCTCTGCCCTTTTTCAAATCCGAGACCAGGAAACTAGGTCAAAGTTGACGGAAAAGTTTTTTCTGCAGCTGGTTTTCCAGGGACTGGAGAGGTGGTGGAGAACCAGAGCAAGCCGGAGGGCAAAGGATGGAGAGGCCTCAGAGCACAAAGCTCTATTGTTTGTGTACCCAACCTGGAGACCGGGTACCTGGTCTGACAAGGGGGTGACGGGGAGAGAGAGGATCTGCTGAGATTTGAGCCTTGAAAAGCCAGAACATACGCACCCCGTCCCCCATAGACCTCAAATCCAGCTCCTGCCCCATGGGACGTTCTGTGACGAGGAGGATGTTCTATATTTGTGCTAACATGACAGCCACGTGGCTACGGAGCTCTGAGATGTGGCCTCTGAGACTGAAGAACTGAGTTTTTGTTTTTGAACTTGCTTTAAATGTAACAAGCTTGTGGACCAAAAGGGGCCACGTGCTAACCTCCGGGGAGACCCCCAAGGCAGGCTTGCAACCTCAGAGACCTGAAGTGACCACAAAGGATGGTCTGAAATGAAAGCTTTTTAACTAAAAGCAGTTTGTCATGTCCTAGGCCGAGATTTTCCCTGGCATAGATAAACCTTTACCTTAACTGAGCCTGTCTGTTGTCTTTTTGCATCTATGATAACATATTGGAATGTCCAAGTCATTTTCCTTTTTCTGAACCCCTCAAAGCACAGGCCCTGCTATTCAGCGACCACAAATACCCTCGCTATTATTGAGTTCATTGTTAACTGTCTTTTACATCCTGTGCCCACCTATTAAAAGATGCACAGCTCAATCCCAGAGGTTTCCCCGCTTTGCTTTCTCTGCCTTTCTGATCTATCACCAATGGATTTCATGTGGCTCACTTACCTCCCCTCTTTTGATAGTAATCCTATATAATAAAAGGCTAATATGCAAATTGTCCCCCTGACTGGGAGTTCGACCAGGAGTGGGGCCTGCTGGCCAACCACCCACAGCTCCTCCCCCTGGCCAGGCCTCCCCCTGATCGCCCCCACACACATCCTCGATCTGGGACAGGTCTGCCAGCCAACTGCCCATAACCTCTCACCCCAGCCAGCCCAGCCCGATTGGCCCCGATCAGGGCTGGACCCCACTCATGCACAAATTTGTGCACCGGGCCTCTAGTGTATAAAATAAAGCACAAAACTGCCATTCTCCGGAGCATTCTCTCAATCCTTTCAGATTTTGCTTCCCAGCAATTGTCTACTGTTTTGGCTCAGATAAACTAAAATAACTCTTCACGGGTCGGAAGGTTCCTTGTATTGACAAGCTCCATGTGCTGAGTGATTACCATACAGAACAGCAGAATCTGAGGGGGGAGCCAAGCAGATACGCTGTTCACCCAAAGGAAACTCACCCTCTCTGAGAGCACAAGAGGCCCCACATTCTGTTTGTAGGTTCACGAAAGAGACTTCCCTAGGTACTGGCTATTTCTCCACTTAAGTGGGCAGGTATTTTGGGACTTCCTTTTCCATGCTCTTCTCATTTGCCTTTTCATTTTTAAAGCACTGTAGCTTACCTGAGCAGCCACTACAGGAAATTCAGTCCTTAGTACCATAGATCCATTAGGTCCAATGTGGTACAGGAAGATTTGAACGAAGTCAGAAGAAAAAAAAAACTAAAGGAAGAAAAAGCTTAAGAAAATAAAATGAGCCAAAAAAGGTGGTACTTCCCCAATTGGTCTAGAGGTCAATTCCTCCCAGTGATACCAACAATGATCAAGACTTAACTACAAAAAGGCTGTACACACAGTCCACAAAGGAGAGCACCAAAAGGGTCTACCTCAGGTAACTGGGGAGGCTGACCCATGGGGCATATAGAACACCAAACACACAAAGACATTCTACCAACTCAGGGAAGCAGGGAAAACGCCGAGACAAGGAAATGGGTCTCAAACAAAAGAAATGGAGGAGAACAAAAGACTGAATATAGAGTTCAAAACCACGGTTATAAGGTTTTTCAAGAATTTCCTAGAAAAGGCCAATAAATTTAATGAGACCCTCGAGGATATGAAAAGAGACCAACTAGAAATTAAACATTCACTGACTGAAATAAAAAACATTATACAAAGACCCATCATCAGACTAGAAGAATGTAAGAATCAAGTCAAAGATTTGGAATATAAAGAGGCAAAGGACACTCCTCTGGAGAAGCAAGAAGAGAAGAGAATCCAGAAAGTTGAAAGTGTAAGGAGCCTCTGGGACAACTTCAAGCATACCAACATCAGAATTATGGGGGTGCCAAAAGAAGAGAGAGAGCAAGATACTGAAAACCTATTTAAAGAAATAATGTCAGAAAAACTTTCCGCACCTGGTGAAAGAAATAGACTTACAGGTCCAGGAAGCGCACAGAACCCCAAACAAAAGGAATTCAAAGAGGACCACACCAAGACACATCAAATTAAAATGCCAAGGGCAAAAGACGAAGAGAGAATCTTGAAAGCAGCAAGAGAAAAACAATTAGTTACCTATTTGAGCACCCATATGACTATCAGCTGATTTCTCAACAGAAAGTATGCAGCCTAGAAGGGAGTGCAAGAAATATTCAAAATGATGAACAACAAGAACCTACAACCAAGATTACTCTACCCAGCAAAGTTATCATTCACAATTGAAGGGCAGATAAAGAGCTTCACAGATAAGAAAAAGCTAAAGGAGTTCATCATTACCAAACCAGTGTTATTTGAAATGCTGAAAGGTATTCC